AATACAATAAATAATACCTTTAAAATAAACAAAAATGTACACTTTCTGATAAAATCATAGCTCATAATTATCGCATCACACTATTTTTTTATAATGTTAATTGAAGTAAAGTTTTCTTTTCACAGATATTTTATAATTATCTTTAGTAGGTATGCACTTATAAATAAAGGGACACAAGAAATTCATTAGAACAAAAGGAATAATAAGAAGCACGTTTTAGTATTGAAAATAAATATCATACCTGATTTCCCAACATTTACGTTCCTGGTATCCTACAAGAAAAACATCCAAGTTATAAATACATTTTTAAGGCACATGTTGAGAGAAGATTGAATATATTTGTCATAATTACATATAGGAACAAAATGTAATATATCTTTTAACACTAATATTTATCAAATCAAGAAAATAATACAATTTACAAAATAAACAATCTAAATAAGTAAAAATGTTTTTCTATATTTAAATTATTTTGTTACTTAATCATTTCACTCCTATATTTAATTAAAACTACTCTAACATAGATAATATTTTTACAAGACTCAAACAACATTACATTCAAATATTATTTAAATAAGAGTTCGTTTAAAATATATATATATATATATATTAACAAAACAAATGAAAAATATAGAAACCTTCACAAAATCTCTGAAACCATTCACTTTTTGTAAAAGTTTCTTTTTTAAATGTGCATCACTCTTTAGTTCTTTCAATTATTGTTTTTTTTTTAAAATTTTTGAAAGATGTTTTTACGTTCATAGAAAATTCTAATATAAAAATAATTTATTCATACTGTAGCATTTGCAAAAAATTTCTCCATTCTAGAATTTCAAGAAAACCAAATTTTAAAAATCTGTACAAAATAAAATTTTAGTAATTGATTGCTCTGTCATGCAGAATAATCTTAACATTTTAAGAATATTTTTGCATATTTAAAAAAAATTCAGAACTTACCTTAGTAAGAAGTTAAAAAAAAATCTTTAAATTTTTCACATTTAAATACTTAATAATCTTTCTAAATACCAAACAGAAAATCATTTCTCATTTTTAATTTATGATTCTAATATTTATTTTTTCTTAAATTTTTTAAGAAAATTGAATTTAACATTCTTGATAATTTATTAGATTTTAAAAAACGTTAAAATTTTACAGCAAATAATATTTTATTTAATTTATAAATACAAAATGAATTTCAAAACACAACTCTGATATAAAATGCATTGGGAAAGATGCAAGACAAAAATGCATGTATTCAATTATTACTTTTTTATTCGAGCTTATGATAAAATGAATAAATAAATAAAATAAAAATGAAAAAAAAATTATATGCATTGAATTATCGATTCATGTAACATCGATGCACATTTCATTAAATCGTATTCATTTACTTATGCTTCCAAATATAAGCTAAAAGAAATTGTTATAATCATGATAAAAGCATCTAATTTTTATAACGTAATTTAATATACTTACCTTTTTGTATTTTCAAAAATAAATAAATAAGAAGAAAACACTTAAATAACAATAATACTGCTTTGCATTGTCAACAATTTTTTATTGTGTGATTTTATTACAGTGCTGAATTTAAACAATAGTTAATTTTATTTTAATGTTTGATACTGAAAAGTGACATTCTTTCATTTAAATTTGAAGATATATGAGCAACTTCTAAATCTCTGCACAGTTTTAGTTTAATTTTCTAAGAAAGGGAGTTTTATTAATCTTATGATTGAGTAAATTTAATCTAGTTTTTAATAATGGCCTTTAAAGGGTAAAAACATGAAAATTTGTATATAATATGAAGGTGCATATTATTTAAGTTATTAATGTATTTTCTAATTTTTATAATGAGCAGCAACTAAATGCAAGCTTAATACAGAAAAGTTTTAGCTTTAAAAATTGAAAGTCAGTTAACCTCAACAATCATGTTCTCTATGAAGACCGATTCTTCTTAAATGAAAGAATACTGTAAAGGAAAATAAGACTTTCTTTCGAAAATGAAGGACATACGTAGCTTCAAAATTTTATAGAGGAAGGGCTTTTATTCGTCTTCAAAATTATCTTTATTTTTTAAAATTAATAAATGATACTTGAATGTTTGTCTGCGGTTTGGGGAGGGATACTGAAGAAGACAAACCTTATCAGAGCCGAATGTTGGCAAAGCAGCAAGAGGAGATCGAAAATCTTTACGTACATAAATTCTTTGAGAACTTGCTGCCATTGGAGGTGTTACAGTTTTCTCTCTGGAATCTGCTGGCTTCCTCTCAGATTGGACAGCTGATTATAGAAAATTGAGAGAAATTAAAAAAAAAAATTATCCATATACAACTCACACAATACAAAAGTTCAAAATGTTTATATATTTAAAACACAAATAAGTAAGCAGAAAAAATACAGCACTCTGATCAGTATTTTTTTAAAAAAATAGAAAGTTTACCCTATAATTTACAGAGTTTGACCAAAAAGTAAATTTAAAAAGTATAATTTTAAAAGAAAAAGGTGTATAAGTAACATCGTTTAAATTTGCCCCTCTTTATTTTTCCTTAACTGCTTTGGGTATTACTTGAAATTATTGCATAGATCTGAAAATTTCCGAAATTCTACCCGTTCTAACAATTAAACAACATGGTAACGTAATGTTATTTCATATTGATGTTTCTTATTACTTTTCATAATATACACAAAGCAACTTATTAAAAGTTTAATTCAAATTAGATTGGAAAAAAATGCACAATAATTGTTTTTATTCATACCATACTTGCGAAAAAACAGGGGGACCAAAGCACTCCACCCCTAAAACATAATCCGACTGTTCAGTGCCGGTTTATCCATTGGGAGCTATGGGCGGGCACCCAGGGGCTCGCCTAAGCAGGACTTAGTTAGATTTTCTGGTAATAAATTTCCGTCCACCAGAGCGAAGGTGGCCTGCAGATCTTCTGCGCCCAGGGCCCGAAATGAGCTTAAATCGGCACTGCGACTGTCTCAAAAATTATCATGCAAATTCCATCACACTAAATATACGAATAATTAAATTTTCAAAACCAATAAACGTTAACTTAGATCACAGCAAGCGTTTCTACTCCACAACTAGCATTGTATAAAACAGTCAACAATAGAGATAAGTTTATCTTTTCTCGTTGTCGGGTTACAGTTCCCGAAATACACAAGTAATAATGCCGTTATGACGTTGCGGAAGGTCTTATAGCTAATTGGAGGATTTCAAAAGTGGTCATATAGTCAGGATTTGTAAAGCTGGCTGGGCAACAGGTCACTATTTGTGCCGTCCGAACACGGCGGGACGAAGTTGCTGGCAGCAATGGTTGCTGCATGAAACTCGCATATCTTCTCACCGTTCATTCATATGGAGAGAACTAGGGACCCGATACGTTTCCTTCAATGTCTGAGAAATCGACCATTACATTAGCGGAGGCTTGATGGTTTGGACAGGCATCAGTCTGGATGAACGCACACACTGCAATGTCTTTGATGTACTGTGACTGCTGTGAGGTATAGGGATGAGGTCATGGAGTCCTATGTTCGCCTTTTTACGGGTGCCCTGATTTTATTTTAATGGATGACAACTCGTTGTACATAGAGATCATCTGGTCGATGAATTTCTGGAAAATTAGGATATTCCCCGAATGGATTGGCCAGTTAGATCTCCAGACCTCATCCGTATAGATCATACCATGGACGTTCTGGGAAGGGTAATTACAACTCGCAAACCCCCTCCGATAACCATCCAGGGCCTGTAAACCGAGTTGCTGAACGAGTGGGATTAACTGTCACATAGATTCCCGTATTTACGGTATAAAATCACGGTGTGAGGCCTGTTTATCTGAAGGAGGGGACCATACCCCCTATTAACCAATTATTATTATTATTATATATTTTTGTTGTTATATTCTGCGACTGCTGTTTCCTACCTTCCTTCCGTTATGCACGATCACGCGCGTGTATTTTAACTGTTGAATGATTTTTTTTTTTTTTTTTTTTTTTTTTATAAATTTAAAAAAAAATAAATAAAAAAAAAATTTTTTAAAAAATTTATAAATTATTTTTATTTAAAAAAAAAAAAAAAAAAAAAAAGGAAAATACATGATGGAAACTTACAATCTGCACGCATGCCCATGGTAAGGCACTTTTGAAGACGGCAATATTGGCAGCGATTACGATGATGCTTAGTAACTTCACAGTCACGGTTGCCTCGGCAAGCATAGCCCAGCTGTTTACGGATGCTTCTTTTGAAGAAACCTTTACATCCCTCACAGCTGACAGCTCCATAATGCCGCCCTACAAACATGAAAAAATTTAATTAGTAGTTGAATTTAATGATATAAAAATACAGTTCTACAACGATGAAAATACTATGACACATAATCTTGAAAATGTAGAACATATAAAGGTCTTAAATTAATTCAGCGATTTCATTAATGGTTTTTAAGTTAGTAAACTAAACATTTAAGCCCGATTTATAGAAAAAAATGTTACGGACAACGAGAAATGATTTTATTTCAGTGTTAATCTTAAAAATAATTTCAGGATAAAAAACAACTGAATACAATGATGTATATATTAATTTAAAACAGAATGCAAAAGTTTATGAAAAAATACCTTAAAACAGATATTTGAGTTTTATACATAATTTTAGAATTAAAGCTTCTAACGTTCTGTACACGTTAATGCAAGGACTTTATAAACAAGTAAAATAAAAAAAAAATTTTAAGTCAATTCCTTCTTAAGTCAGCACAGAAAATTTTTGTTTTAGTTACTTTTTATTAAATAGTTACAATTAATACAAAAATGTATATACATATGACAGAATCACAATATTAAGTGACAAAATAGAAAGCGATTTATTTTCCTTGCAATTTTCCATTTTTCTTTCTATATATGGTGTTGGACTATTTTTTTTTTTGTTTATATTTATTAATTAAATTTAATTATTCTAATAAAATAGTATAGCAAAAAAGAAATCACATTCTCAGAAATTAGGCCATCCCAGGTGGGATTCAAACCCACGACCTTTGGATTAGAAGTCCAACGCGCAATTCATTGTGCTACAGGGACACGACGAGCAATTTTCCTTTTTATATATGGTGTTGGACTATTATTTTTGTCCATTGCTATTTATTCATTAATTAAATAGAATTAATGAATCAATATTTGGAAAAACTGTATTAACATCAAGTGTCATCCACTACAAATTTAAAAAATGTGTTTGAACTTGAGTGGATGAAAATAAAAAGTATTTTAATAACGATTAAAAATTTGAACAAGATATATATATATAAATAAGATAAAAAGATTTATTCAGTCTATAGTTTAGATTTTGAAGATCTTTTTAACTCTATTAATATTGATGATTTGATTAATATACTTGTAAATTTACATAAAGATAATTTATTTAATAATGTTAATTATAATAGATTTGGTTCACTACTTAGGTTTGTACTTAAAGAGAACTATATATATCATAAGGGTAACTATTATCTGCAGATTAAAGGTTTGCCACAAGGTGGCCCTGCGAGCAACTGTCTTGCCAATTTATACTTACATTATTTTGAAAGTAGTTACATTAAAAATTCTAAATATTATACTTATCGTTATATAGATGACAAAATCATTTTTGGCAAACAAGCAAATTTTATACCTAACATTAATTTTCATCCACAATATCTTGATTTAATACAGACAAATAGTAACAACAATGAAGCAAATTTTCTTGACATACATATCAAATTAAAAGATAATGTAATAGCTTCTAATATTTATGATAAAAGAGAAAAATTTAATTTCAATATTATAAAAGTTCCTCATTGGGAGAGTAATGTACATGTTTCTATATTCAGAAATATTTTTATTAATTATATACAACGTAATAAATTTCTGGTGTCAAAAAAATCAGAAATAATAAATAACTATAAACATTTTACTAAATATTGCTTAAATCAGAAACATCCAATTAATTTTATTAATAGTTATATGAATAAAGCTATTCAAATAGTAAGGATCAAAAATTCTGAGATTGATAATAGTTTATTATTATAAACTTAAATATTTCATAGTTATAGTTATCTCCATATTCTAATATTAGATAAAATTACTTATTATTATTTTATTCATATTTACTCTAGTGTTATTAAAGTTATACTATAGTTTGCAACTCTTATTAATTTTTATTTCCATTATTTTTTATACTTTTGTTAAGTGCTACATTTCAGCCCTTCATTTGATTTAAATCTGCATTAGGGTCCAGAATCTGACAGTAACTTATTTTTGCACTCAGATTTAGCGCGGGCTCTGCATTTTTAAGTGCAATTTTTAGGTAAGTTACCTCTATCTTGTAATGGATTTAGATATTCCTATCCATTACTTTCAATAGGTTTTTGCTCAGTATTATTTACATAAAGGGGGAAGGTTGCCTGGCCAAGTAACATGTTCAACCCCACTTTTATATAAATTATTTTATATATTAGCTGTGTGTGTCCTAAGTCAGCAATGTTTATAATACTGCAGCATCCATTTTATAATTTTTAATCTTGGTTGTTCATGTATGTTCTTCATTGTGTGATTTTCCTACTGTCTATGTGTTTTTCGAATGTGATTGTTGGATGTTATCTCTTGTTTGTAGAGATGTAGAGAATAAGACTATATATATATATATATATATATAGGAGAAAGTGAACTCTCTAATAGTGGAAACTGAAAAAGTACAAACATCATGTTAGAATTATATTTTATAAGGCTTCATGTTTCATACATTTGAATAAAGGCATTATATTTTAAATGAACATTAATTATTTTTATTTAAGTGTATAAATCCGATAAGAATATTTTAATTATATTAATATCTGAAGATTGTCCCATGGGTATTTTTCAAACATTAAAAAAAATGTAAAAACATAATGTAATTTAAAAATTGCTGAAATTTGCAATTAATGGAATAGAATGTGACTGAATAAAACTGAAAAAAAAAAAAAATACCCGATATGTTCCTTTTTATATATTTACAAAATATTAATGTGTAATGATATTGATTGTGATTGATTGATTATTAACGTCACGTGTTCAGAGTCTATAAGAGAACTATTGTTGATGAACCTCTTAATTTTGAACTACGGTTAAGTAAAGAGGACGACATCTAAGTTGGCGCCCAAACTCTATCAACCAACATGAGGAATTTGAGCCTCGGCATATTTAACGTGCATCAGCTCCTCTACACGGCAGGTCTTTAGAGGTACTAGAATTTCAATCTGCGACACGACAGAGACACCGTCGGTCGAAACGTTGACCATAGCCAAATGTGTAATGAGAGTAAACAGAAAGTTTTGAACCTAGCTTCATTTAATTAATGAATACTTAATTTCCTGTCGAAGTATTAAAAAACATAGTTCTTATTTAAACAATGCATTTCAGCAGCTGTAAAGGTGTTGTAACCTCAATTACACTTTTATATCCCTGTTTAATTCTTCTATTTCATTTTCCTCATTCCTTCACTACACTTCTATATAAATAGAAATGTTCATTTGCATTCATTCATTGCACTAGACGGTTCTTATACAAAGCATTGCAATTAAGCAACCCTAGAGATTAGGTTAGATAAATGAGCGTGAAAACACTTTACAAAATGACTTTTCCAATAAAACATTAGATCAGCGTTTCTCAAACTGTGCGGCGCGCCCCCCTTGGGGAGGGGGCGTGATAACTCTACGAAGGGGGCGCGAGAATATTGAAAAGTCGAAAACAAAAGATTATTTAAAAAATTATTAATTTACTGAAAGAAAACAAACAAAATACTTTCTAATATGATAAAATATAAAATACACATTTACATTGATATTATACACTTATAAATGTATCAGTACTGTACAATGTATTTTATTATTAATTTAACAATACTAAGAACAAGTTTGATAATTACCAGTGACCCCATGGGCTTGTATTAACATTTATCTTGATAATTTGTACGGTTTATAATTAATTCCTTAACTGCCGATTAAAAGTTACGCTATTCGCTCCCCAATGCCATCGTTTTCCACGTAGACGCGCGTATTTTGATGTTTTTTGGGGGGGAGATGAGATAAATAAGCAAAATCCTCTGAAATAAGTAAATCCTTCTCAAACACTGTCAAGATCCTTTTATTGCATTCCAAAGCCTTCAATTTTATGGATAGCAGTGCACAAAAAAGATCGTACTTCGGAAAAACGTATATATACGTTCAGAGAATAAATGCGTTGGCTTAGCGAGACGTTTATATACGTTCATGGTACATAAGAGGTCAAAGTGGTATTGTAGTTTAGTGTCAAAGTATAGTATTATTGAATTCCATTCATTGTTATTGTATGGAGGGGAGCGTGATGAAAATAATGATTGAATATTGGGTCGCGAATATTGAAAGTTTGAGAAGCACTGCATTAGATAAATACAGAGGTTGGTAGAAACAAATTGTGGATTGATAAAAAGTGGTTTAAATAAGTTGTTAAAACAGATAAAGAAAGAAATCAAAGCTCTGATACTTTTTAATCCAATTGAAATCCTTCTAGTTTTACCTGAGGCCTTGTCCCCGCATACAACGCAGAGTTCGTTGAATTTTCGATCTCCCCCATTCTTTAGTAAAGGCTCCTCATCTCTCATCCTCGTTAACTGTTCAGCAGTTTGCCACTCCTTCACTTTAGTAGCCCAATCAGAGCTGCAAGAGCTGCTCTTACCAGTGCCACAAAATGAGAGTCCAGAGCCCAAGTCCAAGGGACCTGGGCCACTTGTCAGTTTTAAAACATCACTTATGCTCACCTGAAAATCAATAAAAATTTACTATTAGCTCATAGATTTGAAAAAGGACTTACTTGAAAATTTGAGTTTTACATCGCTTCTGCAGTTAGTGAATGACTCAAATTTAAGAATTTTTCATTGTATTATTTTACTTTTGATGTATGAGTCAAATTTTACGCCTTCTGGTCATTTCTTTGAATTGAGATTCAAGTTACAAAACTAAAAGTGAAATTTTCATCCATTCCAAAAATTTCCACATTTTACATGACTTGAAACATGTTGTTCATGTTAATAAACACGGAACACATCAGTGTACCAAAACATTTTGAAACATGAAAATATTAACACAATTACAAAATTTTAAGGTTTCTTTTAAGCTCAAGATTAATTAAATTCATATATTTTACAATGCTGGGTTAAAAAAAAAACTAGTGCCAAAAGATTGGTCCTTAAGGTTCAAGTTAAAATGTAAAACACTATATATAGAATACAGATTAGAATTTTTAAAATACTAGCCTTTTTTAATTCAAAGTATAGCGTCTCGAATTAAATTTTTATAATTCTTAGTGGCAGGACAAAAAAATAAAATTTTAATGGAGATTATATCTCAATCTTTTTTTTCTACTATAGATCCTTCCTTCCTCAGTGACACGACAGCCCAGGGTGGGCTTTGGCCTTCTCAAGAAGCCTTTTCCAGGCCAGCCTTCTTCCTGGCAGTGTTCTCCAATTTCTAGTTCTTAAAACTAGGAGATCTTTTTCTAGGCCATCAATCCATCGAAAATTTGACCTGTCCTTTCTTTGTGTGCCAATTGGTTGAACATTGAAGACTTTTTTAGGGGTGCGGTCTTCGTTCATTCTGATAACGCGACCTGCTCATTTAATTCATTGTATTTTGATGAAGTTAACAATGTCAAATTCCTTATATGATCGTTAGAGCTCTAAATTTGATCTTCTTCGCCATGTTCCATTTTTCTGAAATCCTCCAAAATCTTCCTTTCATAGATACTTATGTTCTCATCTGTTCGAGACATGGACCAAGTTTCAAATGCATAAGTTAATATACTGATCTTAAAAGACTATTATACAATAGAACCTTTGTTTTTCTTCTGATTAAATTTGATTTCATATATTTTTGTATTCCATTAAGACATCTATTAGCCATAGCAATTCTCTTTTGGATTTCAGTAGTACAATCATTTCTATTGTTAATTTCTGAACCTAAATAAATGAAGCTGTTAACAACTTCAAAACTATACTCTTCAATTTTAAAATGGGAATTGTTAAAACATGATTTAGT